TCACAATAGCTCTTATGTGATAGTTGTCGGTTAGAGAAACTCCCACAACAGTACTTTGCATTTTATATGCATCAGTTTATTTGTATTTTTACATACATCTCAGAGTTATTTGTATCTTTGCAAACATACAGAGTTGATATCATGTTTTCAAACAACTTTTCTTTATATTGCACTTGTTTTTAAACTGCTTTATATTGAGATGAGCTCAGTCAGGTTGAGTTGAGTTGAGCAAGGTAAACTTTTCAGTTTCTTCCAAATTTCCTTCTAGCCTATTGTTGCTTAGTTTTCCATCTTGCATACTCGTACATTCCATGTACTGATGCCAGTTGGCCTGCATCGTCTTATGATGCAATGCGTGACGCTTTGGATTTGGGTGATAAAATTATTGACTTCCCTCCCAATTTTTCACTGTATGAATTTACAGCATTCCAAGCTTGTGAAAATAATCATTGGAGTTTGTCTATGATTTATAGTGAGGTTGAGTTGGTTAAAGATGCTTCAATTGTTGATGATTATATTGTTCACAAGTCGATGCTCGTTGAGAGTAAAAACACTTCTATCTTGGTTAGTTGTGGAAAGTTTAAACCTATAATGAGGCTTATGTGCTATCTTGCCTATTTCGGGGGTCATAGATGTGTTGAAGAATGCACTGTAGCAAAACAGATTCAGCTTGCAAAGCTTGGAAAAGCATCTGGTGCAGCCATGAGAACCTCTATCCTTGCAAGGTCTCAAGCTTTCCTTGTTATAATTCTTGAACAGATCCATCAATGTTTCTCCCTTCTATGTGAAACACCCATGGAGGTAAACAAGAAGTGTAGATTGAGGGATCCCGAATCATCTTTCTATCTTAAACAGTCTTATTGCTATGAAATAGCAAGTATTACAAATGCTCATGACTATATTAATATAAAGAATGTATTGGGAATTATTAGGCTTAGCAAGAAAGAGCAAATGGCAATTCTTAGAATTATGGCCTCTGTTATGGTACTTGGTAATATGGAATGCTCTAAAGGCAATGAAATTGTTTCCTCTATTCTGGAAGTTTATAGTATTTGGTTTCAACTTCACACCACTATTGCAGAGCTGTACACACACTCAAGTCTTGAAAGATTCCACATTATACTATCTGTGTGGCTTTACTCGAACCTTGAGGACAATGTTCTTATTGAGGACAAGAGTATTGTTATGAACCAAGTCCAACCCAATATCGATATTAAGGTCACACAAGTAGTTATTGGGCTGACAAAAGCTATTGGGCCGAAAGCAAGTAATAGGTCCAGTTTTATTTGGGATCCAGGCCCATTTACACTTTGTTAAAAAGGACTAGGAGTTAGAAGAATGGATGATAAAAAACTATTATGTGAAGCTTTGGCTTTCTGATCCTCTCATCTCCTTTCTATGGTCTTGTATCTCATCCCTTTCTGGTTACTTCTTTCACGAATTATCTCTCCTTAGTTAGTGTATTATTACTTTGTTCTGCATATTCTACATTATAACTTGTATTCAGTGATTAATATATATAAGAGTGCTTATGCTGGAATTTTGTTACAATCTGTCAATAAATATCCCCACAATCTGAAATTTCTGGATGGAGATGAAAGTTTCCAGCTGCTAGAAAAGAGAGCTTTTGGCGTTAGCCGTTGTCCTATTGAGTTAGTAGAACATGGAGAAGCCATTGTAGTAAAATGTAGTGGAGTACCACTTACAATTGTGGTAATTGCAGGAGCTTTAAGAGGTCGTACATGCGAAATTGATTGGAGAGTAGTTAGGGAAAATGTGGGGAAGCACCTTATACAAGAAGACAAACTTCAGAGATGTGTGAATGTTGTGAGACTGAGTTACAATCATTTGCCTCAAGAAAAAAAGGCTTGCTTCTTGTATTTTGGTGCCTTTCCTCAAGGATTTGATATCCCCGCTTGGAAATTATTCGACTCTGGATTGCTGAGGGACTCATAATGTCCAGGTTGTCGAGCAACGAAATTAAAGAGATAGCAGAGTATTATCTCAATGACTTTGCCAACAGAAACTTATGGTGATGGGAAGGACGTCTAATGATCGAATAAAAACATGTCGTGTTCACGACATGTTACATGAGTTTTGCATTGAAGAGGCTACTAGATTGGCTCTTTTCAAACAAGTATGTCTCACATCTGATCAAGACATACAAAACTCAATTACTTGTCGTCGAGTGTCTATTCAATCATCTGTTCCTCAAAATTTCATCTCAAAAAAGACAGTTGAAGAACATGTTAGGTCATTGTTATGTTTTTCCTCAAAACAAAAACAAGTTGACTTTTCTAATATCGACGTCAAATTCTTCCCTAATGCATTTCCACTAATGAGAGTCTTAGACATTGAATCCCTCAAGTTTAGTATTCCAAGGGAATTTTACCAGCTATTGCACTTGAGGTATATGCACAAACTCTTATTCTGAATACTTCCAAGCCCACCCTTGATATAAAAGCTGACATATGGAACATGCCACGTTTACGCCATCTGCGCACCAACAAACCTGCAATCTTGCCACCCCCTACAAGTGGTAGTAGTACAAATTCTTGTTTGTTGCAAACTCTATCTCTGGTTACACCAGAAAGCTGCAAGGGAAATGTTCTTTCAAAGGCTGGTAATGTCAAAAAAAATGAGTATTGAAGGTAATTTGACGCCTTTTCTTGAAACTAGCAAGGGTGAATTTTTCAGCAATTTTCAAGTGCTAAAGCTCCTGGAAAGTTTAACACTGCTAAATGATAATAAGAGTAATAAATCTCTTCACCTTCCGTCAGCATTCTCCAAATGTTTACCAAATTGAAGAAGTTAACTCTGTCAAAAACAAGGTTTGACTGGAACCAGGCATATAGATTGGGGCAGGTGAAAAATCTCCAGGTCCTAAAATTGAAAGAAAATGCATTCACGGTGATGTCCTGGAAGATGGAGCCGGAGGGTTTCAAGAAACTTCAGGTCTTGTGGATTGAAATGGCAGATTTCGTGTCGTGGGAGGCATCAAACTGTCCCTTCCCAAGACTTAGGAGCCTTGTCCTGATCTCCTGCCTTAACCTTGAGGTTGTGCCACTTGAGCTTGCCGATTTGGATTACCTTCAAGAGATGACGTTGGACAACACAAGCAAAGCAAGCGAATCTGCAAGAAAAATAGAACGCGAGAAAAAGAAGAAGCAAGCTGATCCAGAAAGCGGCAAATTCAAGCTCACTATTCCCTACTGAAGCTGATTTCAATGCCACAAAGTGAAGTTGTTATGAGGTTAGTCCAATTCTCTCCATCTCGTATCATGAAATATCGAATAAGACATTTTTCAATAAGATTGTATCTATCCCTATAGTCTCTATATGCAGAATTAGTAGGTAGCAGTGTGTTGTCTTGCTGTCTGTTCATATCAGTAGTCATAGTATTGCTCCTATAGTTTCTTATCCTTCGATTTTTGCTACTATATGTTGTCCCTTATACCTCGATTATAGTAATGCTTGTTGTAGTTTCTGTTATGTTACTATCTGATGTTTTTGTTATTATCTGTTGTTTCTTGTACTTCATTCTTTTCGGGACTCCTTTGAACTCTTTTTCCTTGAGCCAAAGGTCTATTGGAAACAACCTCTCTTCCTTTGAGGTAAGGTTCCTCCCCAGACTCTATTTTGTAGGACTACACTGAGTATGTTGTTGTATTGTGGGTTTCGCACTTTGCTGAAACATTAAATTGGGCAACATTACTCTGTTATACTACTAATACAGAATTTAGGTGACTTTATATCAAACATAGATTATATTCAATTATTTTCGTGTTCGTCACATTCCTCTCCTATGTTTTCTTACTTATTTTCCTCCTTTTTCGCAGGAGCGTATCGAGGCATGATGATGCATTTGCAGTCTCAGTTCATCTGATTACTAGTTCCAATAAAGAAACTTGTTACAAGTATTGTTTGTTGATTCAAACATTGTCATGTTTGAAATCATTTCCCTGGATGGTTCTGAAGATGTTTTAAATTAATGATTTGAGTGTTTTCTTTCATGTAAACTGTTTTGAACAAGTATTTTTTGTGTTTTCTTTCGGTATTGAATAATTTGTTTAATCTGTAGTTAATATTTGGATATCTATGTATTGTTCAAAGACATGTTATTTGTTAGTTATGAATCTTATTTCGTGTGTAATCTCTCTGATATATGTCCCAATTGGCCTGAATCTGATGAAGAATAGTAACCAAATGTATTGTCCAAACATCATTTTTTAAACATGGTCATCAATGGACAATTGACACTTTTTTCAGAACATGGTAGTTTCTAAAGTGAAGAAGGCAATTACCACTATTACTATGAATGGTTGGATGGCATTGTACGAACAGGTGTACTACCAACAAGGATTGTGGTGGAGTAGTACATACTTCTTGATCCTTAATCAAAAGGATACAAAATAGGGAATGCTCTTAATGTAGGTAGAGTAGATGTCGAACCCTTCGGTTAGCTCCTATGTCTACTTCAGATTTTGAACCCCCCTTAGTGAAAATTATGGTTCCACCAGTGAATGTGAGACTTACTGGAGCGAATCTAAATTTAATCGGGCCTAGATACTCTTGTTTATCTTGATGCCAACAAAATTCCTTTCTTCCACAATTAGAACAATTGTTGAGACTAATAAGATGATGAGCTCGCACTGGCATACTAACCACAGGGTTAAAATGGAAGTTAAAAGTTTGGATAAATTAAATGGAAAATGTTCAAATATGCATCCAACTTTGAGAAAAAACTTATCTACACTATTTATTAAAAGTTTGGTTCATCTATGCCATTTTTGTTTGAGAAAAAAAGATTCATCCATGTCATTATTCATTAACAAATAATGGCATGAATGAGCTTTTTTTCTCAAACGAAAATGGCATAAATGAACCAAACTTTTAACATTTTATTTATGTCCTAAAATATTTTTCTTAAGGGGTGTATTATACCCTCAACAATTTACTTAATATGCACTCAAAGAAATAGTGCAGAACAATATTTTACATATATACGTCATATAATTTTTTCTGCGAATAATATTTGTGTGACTACCCTTCATATAGCTCCATGAGCAAAACTTAAAAACCAACATAAAATCGGGGCCTTATGTTTAATAAGGGAACTTACATAAATTTCACTAGTTTAGGAGCTTATTACTTAGATACATTCTAGTTTGCAATATTATGTATCTTATAAAAGTTTGGTGCGTCCAGATACGTTGCGATACATGGGTCAAAATTAGATCTAATTATATCCAAGTGGATTCATATGCATCCAGGATACATAACAAATCTCCCTCGCCTCTCTCCCATCTTGCTCTCCACTCTCTTGTGTATTTGGTATCCCATATACTTGTGAATCACACTAGATACATATAGATACATGTATCTAGTGGGCACAATACATAAACCTAACCCTTAACTTGGCGTTAGCTGACAATTATGACCTTTAACTTTGAGTGTGCACAAGTAGACACTTAAACTTGTATAAAATCGAACGAATAGACACATTTGTCCTGCATGGTACCCTATATGGTAATTTAGTGTCCTTCATGACGTCCTACGTGTATTATGTCATGTAGGACACACGTGTCTACTTGTTCAATTTTATACAAGTTTAAGTGTCTACTTGTGCACACTCAAAGTTGGAGGGAATAATTGTCCACTGAAGCCAAGCTAAGGGTCACTGTCTATGTATTAGCCTATCTAGTGTGTATGTAATGTGATTCGCATGTATCTGGGATAAATAGCGAATCTTGCTCCCCTCTCTCCCTATTTTAATGTATCTGGTAGAAAAAAATACGCATATCCAAATGTATTTTCCTCAATATATGGTAGGAAACTCTTAATTAGTGGCAAAATACACAATATTTTAAAGGCGTAATACATAAATATGCCCTTTAACATTACCTCATTTTACATTTATGCTCTCCAACTTTGAGTATGCACAAGTAGACACTCAAACTTGTATAAAATTGAACAAATAGACACATGCGTCTTACGTGGCATCCTACATGGCAATTTGTGTCCTACGTGGTGTATTATGTCACATAGGACTCATGCGTCTACTTGTTCAACTTTATACAAGTTTAAGTGTCTACTTGTGCACACTCAAACTTTGAGAGTATAAATATGAAATGAGGTCTAGTTAAATGACATATTTATGTATTATGCTCATAAATATGCCCTTTAACTTGATCTCAGATCACATATATGTTCTCCAAATTTGGATCTGCACAAGTAGACGCTTAAGCTTGTATAAAATTGAACATATATATACACATGTCCTACATGACATCCTACATATGACAATTTGTGTTCTGCGTGGTGTCCTACATGTATTTTGTCACATAGGACTCATGCGTCTACCTGTTAAACTTTATACAAGTTAAAGTGTCTACTTGTCCACACCCAAAGTTGGATGACGAAAATGTAAAATGAAGTCAAGTTAAAAAGTGCATTTATGTATTATGCCTATTTTAAAAATATAGATAATAGTTGTATATATGATAGTGAAGGTATGTCTTAGTAGATAGTTTTTCCTTGTAAGACAAATCTGTATAATTTGTAAATCACAGATCATACCGGCCTTAATGTGAACACTATTCAACTAGTCTAATCAAAGTCTAGATCTGAAATTGATTAGTTTAAGTTTACTTATTATTTTGCATTATTAAATTCAATTTTTTTCTACTCGAAATGATTATTGACAGTTCACAAAATATATTTGCAAGTAGATAAGCATTAATCAGTTGACATTTTGGAGTTAATTTAAGAGGTGTTTGATCATAAATTTTAAATATTTTTTTATTTAAATTTGGTGGAATCAGAGTGAAAAGGGGAAAAGGTACAAGTACCCCCTAGAATATTACTGAAATTCTAGAGACACATCTTAACTAAATTAAGATCTTAGTACCCCTCTAAATCCATTTTTTTTGTAATTTTGTACACCTTTCTGGCTTACGTGGCATCCAAATATCTCCCACGCGCTTGAACTACGTGGAGTCACAGAGTGTGCCACATAAGCCAAAAGGTGTACAAAATTATATTAAAAATGAGTTCAGGGGTAATAGGACCTTAGTTTAGTTAAAGTATGTCTCTGAAATTTCGGTCATAATCTAGGGGGTACTTATGCCTTATCCCGAGTGAAAAATGAAGGTGTATTTCATTATATTTTTATTTGTTTAGTTGACTAACGGAGAGATTGTTGAGAAGGTGGCCAATTTGATTAAAATATTCTTGACAGAAATAACTAATTAATTCCTATTACCACTCCATCTTTCATTCTGTGCTGGCATAGAGTACAAAAATGTATTTAACTAATCTAATTCAGATTTGCCTTATAGGTAAGATATTTAAACCTAGTAATTGTATATATACTATGTGACCACCTTTCATATTTTTTTTTATAAGCAAATTTACCAACAACGTTTAGCAGTCTTTTATTAAAAATAAAAAGATATCAATAGAAATAAGTACAAGCAAGGGGTCAGACCTTACCTTATCAATCCTAATGAAGTACCTGACTTCTACTATCTAACAAACATGAAGAAAATAAGAGCTAGAGAGAACTAAGTTTTTTGTGATCACCACAGACTTTGTAATACACTCCATGATGATATTACAAATGAGGATGCTTAAATAATGCAAAAATATGTCAATCAAGAAGAAGGTTGAGTTATCAGTCTCAAACTTTCTGCTTTGCCTGTCGCATCGGTAGGTGCCTTGGAACAAACTCCTTAGTCATTTTACCGTCTCAATTATGTTGCCTTCCATGTGTCTTCTTTTTGTTTTTGTTGCTTCCACTTCTTTGTTGTCTAGGTGATATATCCTCTTCCCTAGCCACTCTATCAAAGCATATGTCTAGCATATTGTCTTCCCCATCTTCATCAAGAGAATCATCGCCCAAATTATAAGGCCCTTGACTCATTCTTCTTTACAATCACACATTTAGGCACAAATACAAAAGATTCTGGGCTTAATTTGCTATTCAAAGCAGGTGGTGAAACCTGCTTTTCTTGGATCAAATTGTTGTCATTCTCTATTAACCTTACTTGCTTTCCAGTAATCTTCAATAAAACATCAAAGTTCTTCGAACATAATAGGTCAGTTGAGGCGACCACGTTTCATATTTGAAGAATCAAGTGAGTTTTTTCTTTGATCGCAAATCTTTTATGTTATTTATATTATTCTCTGAGAAATTGTGTATATATACCATGTGAGCTCTCTCAGAAACATTATTTGACCAAAATATATCACATTCCTAACTCTTGCTTATGGCCGTACGTTCCTTTAACTTGCGTTTCAATTATCTTTTTCCTTATTAAATGTGCATGTTATTAGTTGAAAAAATCAATTCTCCAGAAATTAATTAGTTTTCAAATTGCCGTTCCTTTTGCATGCTTCAAATGGTTAGAGGTTAAATTCAACATAAATGGGAAGAGGAAAAAGAGCAAAGAGGGTCCAAAAAAGAAGAGGATCAAAGGTATGTCTACCAATCCTTTTACATGCTCCAAATTAATTAATATTAATTAAGTATTTTTTTAGAAATTACTTATTTGTTTTACATATTATTGTAACACTACTATTTTAGTATGTTTTTACATGGCAATGTTAACGCCTATTCGAATATAAAGGCAAATACAGCCATTTTGCATGACTGATTTTGTCAACCGTACATTAATAGTTATCGTAATAACAGTTAAATTTGTAAATTAAATGGGATTAAAAACAAGTAAATTAAGATCAATCAACAGTACTCGATTACTCCTACCATGCCTAAAATGCAGACACTTAACTCAAATGACAACTTAAGACTTCTGCAGATCACTCGATCAGGTCCCTTGCTACGTAAGTGAATAACTTTTTTTTTTTTTAATTTAGGAGCTGCCATTTGAGGAAGAAAGAAGAAGAATCAGGGATCTTATTGATGATTTCTTGAACGGCTTGAAGAAAATAAAGAATGAATTCATTGCTTCAAAATGGGATGACATTGAATTGCTAAGAATGGATCTGAGATTCCTAAGAACATTTGTCCTGTTTGGGAATTCCAGTTTGGATGACTTTTATGAGAGGATGTCACTGAATATAAGCAAATTCAATGAACTTGCTTGGTTAGTTTTCTATCATGAAGAAGATAAATTAATCCTAGCGAAATACGACATGGAATGTCTCACCCCTCTGCTGCTGGAAGAGATGAAAAGTTATTTGAGTTTGGAGAATGATTATTATGTAGCCACGACGACAGAGGACAAAATGTTTGAATACAGGGACAGACTATTCAAACACCTTCATGATCTACCAAAGTATTGTGCTCATTTACTTCTCCCCCTGATGAATGAATACATGATTCTTCGACAAGTATTCAGACATCTGAGAGATTTCTATGAGTTGGAATGCATAGCGGCCAACAAAACAAGAACTGAATATCTCTATCCTCGGTACCAAATGATAGTTGATAGAGTAACACAATTCTGTTTTGATCTTTGGACTGGAAAGAGTAAAGAAGAAATTGGTGATGATTACTATTTCCACAGGTATGACGTATCTGAATGCTCTTCCAAGATCACTTCTCTACTCATCGACATAATCCCTCTTGAGCTGGATATTCTATACATTTCTACTACGAAAATCAAGGAAGAACCAAGGTCAACTGAACTAAAAGGGTGGGTTAAGCAAATCCTAAAAGCATTTCCAAGAATTCTTCAAAATTATCTGATTCTTATCCAAGGACGCATGGAAGGTGCAGTAGCTGTCAATTACTCTCCAACTCAAAGCATTAATGTCATGATGGAGTTCCTATTGATTTTTCTCACCGATATACCAAAGTGCTTTATCCATCGTGACAAATTGAACGACATGTTGGCACATGTTGGAGTACTTACAAGGAAAATATCTATTCTGGTGAGCAAGCTGTTGGAGGAGAGCTCTGAGAATAATATCAACGAAGTGGACTTTTCAGCTCCAGACTTTTTGCAAGAAATTGAACAAATGAAGGGAGATATCAGACAGGTTTTTCTGAAAGATCCAGAGTCATCTCAACTTCGCTTTCCTATGGATGATGGTTTCCTCTTCATGAATCTTTTACTCAGACATTTAAATGATTTGTTCATTTCCAATGTCTATTCAGTTACTCTGATAAAGAAAGAAATTGGGATGGTGAAACAAAGCCTTGCATTCCTTAGATCATCTTTCGGGAAAGTCGGGCAAACATTGGATGACACTAGTGGAGTAGTTAAAGATTGTTGGGTGCGTGCTTTAGATGTGGCATATGAGGCAGAACATGTCATTAATTGCATTCTTGTTAGAGATAAAGCTCTCTCCCATTTAATCTTCTCACTTCCGAGGGTCACTGATAAGATCAAGCTTATTGTGTCAGAAGTCACCAGTTTAGGGCTGGAGGATAAGAATGGGGATGACCCCCTTGATGCAAAGTCTTCCGACGAGTCAATTGAGTCAACCTTGTCATCTTTTGTTGAGGTAACAGTAGGTCATGAGGAAGACGAATCCTGGATCATTGATCAGCTCCTTGATGAACATGAATCCGAGCTTGATGTCATTTCGATTGTAGGAATGCCAGGACTCGGTAAAACTACCCTGGCCAACAAAGTGTATAAAAATACATTAGTTGCTAGTCATTTCAATGTTCGTGCTTGGTGCACTGTTTCTCAAAAGTATAACAAGTCAAAGGTGTTGCTGGAGATTCTTCAGCAAGTTACTGGCTCGGAAGGAAAAGAGAGTGAGGATGACCTTGCTGACAAGGTACGAAGAGCACTATTCGATAAAAGGTACCTCATTGTCTTGGATGATGTGTGGGATATTGCAACAGGGGAGATGCTAATAGCATGTTTTCCAAAGGTTAAGAGAGGAAATAGAATTATCTTAACTAGCCGAAATAGTGAGGTAGGTTTGAAAGTTAAATGCCATAGTGATCTTCTCCACCTTCAACTTTTAACACCTGAAAAAAGTTGGGAGTTATTCGAAAAAAGGGTATTTGGAGATGAAGGAAGCTGCCCTGCTGAGTTGTCAAAAGTTGGACACAAAATTGTTGAGAAATGTCAAGGGCTTCCTTTGGCTCTTGTTTTGATTTCTGGAGTAATTGTTAAAGGAAGGAAAGGAAAGCAAAAGGATTTGTGGCTTAAGATTCAACATAATCTGGATTCTTTTATTTCAGCAAACAACAATTTGCAGATGATGAAAGTGATGCAATTAAGTTATGACCATTTACCACACCACCTGAAGCCGTTGTTGCTTTACATTGGAAGATCTCAAAAGAGCAAACGAACTCCAGTCGTTGAGTTGATGCAGTTGTTGATAGCAGAAGGGTTGGTGGATAATGATATCTGTTCCAATAGTAGTTTAGAGGAAGTAAGTCAAAGTTACTTGGATGCTTTAATTTCTAGAAGCCTGCTAATGGTGGATCATATCAAGAAGAGTAAGTCTTTTTCTGTTAGGATCAAGGTTTGCTATGTGCATGATGTTGTGCATGATTTTTGTTCAGTAAAAGCGAAAAAGGAAAAGTTTTTCAAGTTAATCAATTCAGGTGCTCCATTCCATGCTTCTTATTTCCTATACCGTTGTCTAACCATTCATACTAACTCCAACAAACTCCACAAAAAATGTGTTTTGTTCAATTCTAATAAGTGCTCAGCTTGCAGTAAGCATCTCATATCTGTGAAAGTGAGTGGTTCTCTTAATAACTCCAGGTATATCTGTCACACAAGACACTTGAGACTTCTTAGAGTGTTGCAACTGGATAGCATTATTCTGGAATATTCTTTAGTTGAAGAAATAGGCTCCCTATTTCATTTGAGGTTATTAAGGATTTGGGCTAGTATAAAATCCATCCCACTGTCGTGGGTGAACCTCCAGAATCTGGAAACTCTGTTGATCGAAACGGAATATCCCATCATGGTACTACTGCCCAGAATACTCAAACTGTCGAAACTGAAACACATGAGTGTCGTCCACTTAAGTTCTTTCTTTGAATTGGACGACAAATGGAACATTATTATGGATCAATCAACTAGAATATTGGAAGGTGAGAATTCAAAGTTAGAAGACTTGACAACTTTGTCCCAAGTTCTTATCTCATATACTGAAGGCATGAGTGATGCTCTGGGGAAGTTCCCAAATCTTCAGCACCTCAATTGCATCATCAAGGAACCGATAGATCCTCCTACACAAGGCGATTGGTTTCCCAAGCTTGATGTCCTTAATAAACTTGAATCACTCATCGCAAGATACCAGAAGGCATGGGCAGATTATCAGTACGATAATGATCCCGAGTTAAAAGACAAAATCCCACCTCCCAATGAATATCACTTCCCTACAAGATTGAAAGAGTTACGGTTGTATGGTTTTCCCCTGAGACCTGCTTTGTTTTCAGCAATCGCGGCATTGCCTGAGCTTGAAATTCTGGAGTTAATCGACTCTGCTTCTGTTGAGGACATGAAGTGGGATGCAAGTGAGGACATCTATCAAGGTCTTAAGACTTTGCGGTTGGTATCTGCTAAATTTTCAGAATGGCAAGTTGATTCGGAAACTTTTCCCAAGCTTGAGGAATTAATACTAGAATACTGTGAGGAGCTTATGGAGATCCCTTCTGCATTTGCGGATATAGAGACTTTAAAGTTCATTCGCGTGGTTTATATTAAGCCTGACCTTGGAGATTCAGCCATGGAGATTAAGAAAGATGTAGCAGCTTACACAGGAGAGGACAAGCTTGATATCCATTTATCATATGCGTATGACGAAGAAGAGGTAATTAATTTATTCATTTAATTTATGTAATCATGTATTTGTATTCATATCATCATCATGTATAATTTCTTACATCTTTGATCTGACTTTAAGTTCAATATTTACTAACTGGTATAAGCACTTCCTGTTGGATGTCAATAAAAGGCTGTTCGTAGCCTCTGTTTGCATCTCTACAGGTGTATTATGTCACGTAGGACGCATATGTTTACTTGTTCAATTTATACAAGTTGAAATGTCTACAAGACATAGATACGAGCTGAAGCCAAGTTAAATGATATATTTATGTATTATGTCATAGAAGAAATAAGTTTCTGAGATTGCGGGAGAGTATCAATGCATTTTCATCTGATTACTAGTGTTTTCTTTCATATATTGCTTCGCCTCATTAGTAATTTGTTTTATTTGCAGTTAAGCGTTGGAGATTCAGACATTGGGATTAAGGAAGATATAGCAGCTGAGGTAATTAATTTAATTTCTTACATCTTCACCCCTACATGGTTCATTTTGAATTATCTATTTGTTTGTTTTCACCATCATATATAATTTGCAGAACGCCCAAATTAGTAACTGGTACAGAAGGCGAGGTCATATAGTAGCTGATTCCTCAACTGAACAAGTGAATACGGACTCTAATCAACCATGTACGAATTAAACTCTTAATCCTACAGCCTAGAACACCCTATTGCAGAAAGTGTCAAAGCAATAGCTCTATTGCCAATTGTATCAATTGACTCTAGTTAATATAGACTTCAATCGCATACTACACTATTAACTCTAACTATGCTTATTGTTTGTTAAAGTAGTAAAGAAACGATCTATTCCTTTATTGATTAGGAATGGATCTTACAAGTTGAAACGCACAAGATACAATCTTTTAATCACAATAAACGAAACACTTGATAACTCTATCAGGTCCCTTGTAGATCTTGAAAGCTTGTGTTATGCTTGAGAGAGACAAAAGACAACTTTTTCAATTATGCTCAATTGTTTTGACTAGGTTGTTTCAAGTTAATAAGAATATATTATCCTCTGAATAAAACAACATAGTGTACTTTCATTGGCTGAGTATACTGTCCTCTTTTCACGTGCTCACCAATCACGTTTTACAGTTGTTCCCCATTTCACAAGAGATACATGCTCGACTCATGGGACCAGGTCTCATAGTTTGTGAAAATCATTAAAACATCAAAGTTACAACAACATGAATATAAATGTTGGTTGATCAAAATATCATTTAAATATTGAACAACTTTTATACCTTTAAAATATAATCTCATATTAAAAATAATAGTTTAAACTTGTACTAATTTTTAATTTGTGTGGACCGAATTTCTAATCATAATCATATTCAGTCGGACTTCGAAACACAATTTTAAAAGGATATAAATTAAAGTCAGATAAAAATTGTCAAAATGTTCACCGAATTTTTAGTAGTAAGGATCTTCAATCCAATTTTTACCCACTAAAAAAATTAGTAAATACACATATTATGAGAAAAGGGCAATAGTGAAAACCTACATTTTATTTATATTTTAAAATATTTTTTCTTAATGAATGTATTATACCTGAATAATTCACTTTATATGGATTTAAAAAAATAATCTAGAACAATATTTTTCCTATATATCTCATGTAATTTTTTCGATTAATATTCGTTTGACTATCCTTAGGACAGATAGCTCTATTACTAAGCAAAAATAAAAAGAAAATTTTACACAAATTTTATAGTGTTGAAAGCTAATTATATTTATCCCTACTTTTTTTCAATTTACAAAAATCTCTTAAATATGGTGGGATCCGGATACATCCCAAAATGTCCCAACACATCGCATCCCGGTTTCGAATACATCCCGATACATTGTGTTCATTTCGGATACATCACTCAAACGCCTTGATACATCACGTAAAGTGATGTATCTGGAAATAGGAGATAATAGAGATTTTTGTAAAAAAATTCAAATGGTAGAAAATTTTAGAAAATACAATAAAATACGTTGTGTATTTAGATAATTTTTCCAACCTAACATACAATAAGGGCTTAATGTTTAATATTTCACATAAGACAAATCTGTATAATTTGCAAATCACAGATCACACCGGCCTTAATGTGAACATAATACAAGTTTAATTCAATCTATAGATTATTGTCTTGTCTTTCGTTACTTACACTTTTCATTCATTCTTAATTCTCTCTTCTAATTCAATTTTAATTTTGTATAATACATTTTTAATGCAAATTTAATTTTGGATAATACTTTCATTAGTTACGTTTTTTTATTCATGCTTAATGTTCTCTTCTAATTCAACTTTAATATTTGTGTAATACACTTTTAATACAAGTTTAATTCATTTTGCAGTTTATTGGTTTATTTGTTACGATTGGATTACTTGTTTAATTCATTATTGATACAAAGTTTTATTCAATTTACAGATAATAAAATGCTCTTTCGTTTGCTACATCATTGATCAGCCAAGGATTGGAGAGATAGAAAAAGAGCTCATAAAAAAGTTTGTAGAGAGAAAGAAAGGAAGAAAGAGTGCGAGAGAGAGAAAAAAAGAGCGAGAGAAACACAATTTAATAAAATACATTGTATTGTTATATATTGCTATAAATGGTAATAATTAAAGAGTATATTTAAAATAAGTAATTATTTTTTAAAAGGGATTTACTCAAGTAATTAACCCAAAAAAGAACAACTTTAAAGGAGCAATTAAGAAGGCCCAGTAGTCACTAGTCAAAGTTAATTATTCTTGATTGTGGGCAAACTATTTAAAATTAAAACCATGTAGATGAACTTAACAGAACTAGGCATGAAGAGACACTTCTTATAATGAAAATCTAAACTAAAGGCAATGAGAAGAAACATTGTCTTTTCATGCATAACTAGAGACCCTAGACAATCACATGAAGCAGCAAAACTGAAACCTCTGTCTACATCTAGGCTGACGATCATTCTAACCACAAAGAACTCAATCAATATAAGGATGCATTACCAAAATATAAAGATCTAACCATATATTAATCACAAGAAGCTACAGTCTTATTTTTTGTCATAGCGACCAATCAAGGGCGGAGGGATTACATGCTATATAATAAACAGAGAAACGGATAAGCAAAATCAAGTTTGCTAAGTGCTTAACAGAAAGTTAACAGACCATTTCAAAAATGCATAAGTGAATTACATATCACGATTAGCAAAGGCAGCCACACTATACTTTAATTGACCCGAGACAAAGAACAACAAACTAAACTCACGCCAAATAAACTTGTGGTAATACAGAATGGTAAACAACAACTGGGACATACTAATTTGATAAATCATGCTAGGACTGATTCGAAATGAACAACACAACAACAAACCAGGAGAAGATGATAATCAAAGACAGAACGGAATATAAGCAAAGCAGACTGATTGATAACACACTCATGAAATAAACGAAGTTCGATATCATTTTGAAACGTACCAAAATCATCTACGACAAACAGAAAACAACATATATTGAAATATTCCTGCTATACCAAGGCACAACATGCCATTTCAGATAGTATCAAAATGATGTATCCATGATTCAAAAAAGAGAGAGAGGGCAAGGGACGGAGGTTAGAGTGTTACCAAGGGCAGTAATTACCTTTTTATGAGCAGCAACCGGAACAAACGAGCTTTAAATCGAGCGAGCTTAACACCACAAATGAGAACTTTGAGAAATCCGACTAATTCCTCCGCAACTCACGAAGAACGAGAAGAAAAAAAATATGTATCTAAAGTGTAAGTTCTGGATGATGCTTACAGATTTGAGAAAAGTTTCTTTATATGATTTCTCTTGCCAACCTTTTCCAACTTTTTTTCCAATTTTTCTTCCAACATCTAACACTGAAAAAGAAAAGCGTTTATATAGAGGGAGACTAGGCTGATTTTTGGGGGGAAATCGAGAGGGAGAAAGGGTGAAATCAGAATTCGAATCTCTTTGGGAGATAAGGCTCAAACGGCTGGCAATAGTACCAAATTCAACAAATTTGTAATGGATTGTTGAGGAGAGCCGTCCGATTTCGAAGCAAGGACGCTCGAGGAAGGAGATTGCTCCACCTAGCACTGCCCACGTACGGATTGTCGAGACTAAAGAGGAAGAAGACAACGAGTACTGAGTGCTGGATTGTACTTGTTCTTCACTGTGAATTTTCTGTGAACTCGCCGTCTACTGTTCACGCCATTTGGGGTCGTTTTGGAATTGTTGTTCACGCCGTTTGGGATTGCTGTGTAGACGCCGTGTCCTTGTCTTTTGTGAATGTTGCTTCTGGCAGTGCTAATGCTGTAAAGAGTTTGGTTCTTTGTTGAAGAAGAGTTGGACCGGGTCTATAGGGGAAAAGGGATGGGTTCCTTAAGGAAAAAATGGCATAGCATGACAATTCATAGTCTTTATTGACAATAAATAGCCCACTTTAAACCTTTTAGCAAAAAAAAGATTTTTTTAATATTTATTTGATATTAAATAGCCACATTCTCTTTAAAAAAAAAACTAATTTATTTTCCTTATTTTCTCTCTCTATTTCCTAGGAGTTAGCACATTTGCATTTATTATTTCTTTTCTCTCTCTCCTTATAATTTATAAACAAAAAGAATTATGGTATTTTTCAATTTCTCTCTTTCTTCCTTTTGTTTCTGCCTCTTTCAAGTTTAGGATTTCTATTTTCTTCTCTAAAATATTTCCATTAAAGATCAATCACAACAATAACTCTTCACAATAAGTAAATCAAATCATACCAATTTTTTTTATATTGATTGTTTGGGTTATTTTTTAAAAAAAAAGTTGAAATTTTCTACATTCTTTATCTTGTAGTTAGATGCAAGATTTTTTTTCTTTTGAAAAACTTTCGTATTTGTATTATAATTCTACAACATTTTCTTCCCCAAAAAATTGCAAAGTTTCGTGATTTCTGGAATTGACGTTTTTTCAATTTTTAATAAATATATTTATGACAATTTTTTAAATTATTGAATTTCATTGATTGAATTTGATAATGAATATTTATTTTTTCTCCAACAAATGTATCTAAATTTGTTAATGAATACAAACGAACACGTAACAATGTAAAATTTTCTAAATTTGTTAATGATTTTTGTTGATTGCATTCCAAAATAGTAATGCAAGCAACTGTATACCTATGCAAAATTGGAAAGATACTAATGCAAACAAATGTATACCAATTTATAAATGATTATAGACGAATGTATCCAATACAAATGTATACTTATGTAAATTTGATACATATTAATGCAAATAAATGTATACAAATTTATTATGAATACGAACAAATGTATACCAGTTTATAAATGAATATGGATGAATGTATCCAATACAAATGTATACATATGTAAAATTTGGAAGATATTAATGCAAATAAATATAAATGTATACCAATTTATTATGAATACAAATAAATGTATCCAATATGGATTGAGTTCAAAGGCAAAATTATTGCCAGGTAATGAACTCATAGGAATACCTTTGAAATAAGAATAATCATAATCAAAATATTATTTCCTAATTTTAAGAAAAGATATAAGTCTAAACAGTATTTTGCTAGTTTTAAGTGGAAATGATTGGAAGATAGAATAGAGATGGTATTAATTTTCTTTTATTATTTTTTAAAATACGAAATTATTTGAAAGGAGAGAGGAATAATCTTTTGCTAGTTTTAAGGAGAAATGGTTGGAAGTTAGAAGAAAGATGTAATTAATTTTCTTTTATTATTTTAAAAAAATACGTAATAATTTGAAAGGAGAGATAATTCTAAATAATCTTTTGCGAGTTTTTAAGGAGTAATGGTTGGAAGTTAGAAGAGAGATGATATTAAATATCTTTTATTATTTTAAAAGTAATTTAGAAAATGTATATATTACTTTTAGGCTAACATGTGCCAATTTTTTATTTGTTTATTAATTGCTAATTAATATTGGGCTATATGTTGTCAATTGTATGTAACACTTGTCTATCCGTGTCAATTCCTCCTTACTTAAGTGAGCAGGAATTCGGAATGGGGCCTGGGCTTGTTGGAAATTTAAGAAGGGCCCAAACTTGATCTCATGAAGGATTGGATGAATTGGTGAGACTTGGCTAAAATTGAGATTGAGTTAATTAACAATTTAACCAAACGAATTTAAAAAATAATCAAAAGATTTAATTTTGGTAGATTTGGCTAGAGTTTCAAATAGGATAAATAAATATAATTAATTTACAAGCTTCTTAATATTAACAAAACAAAATAATTAACTCCATTGCAAA